GGGGGGGGGTCGGGCCGGATCTCGTTCTTGTCTGGTGTGGTGTGGTGTGGTGTGTTTTGGCGTGCTGGTGCAGCTGTCTCTCTACGTCTGTATGTCTATATCTGTCTGTCTGTGTGTCTGTCCGAGTGCCTGGATGCATCATCTCATCAGTCGGTCGGTACGATTGCCCGTGTGTGTGGTGTGACCGCAGTACGTGCCATACGAACATTAGACAACAACAACAACAACAAGACCAAGAGAAAGACAAACACACACAGGAATGGACCCACACGGACACACACATGCACGATAGAAGAGAGGGTCGCACAAAAATCGCCTGAGAGAGAGAGTGGGAGGGAGGGAGGGAGGGAGGGAGAGACGGAGGGAGAGAGGGAGGGACAGGGGGAGAGGGGGCGGACAGACGGGCCACTGCCATACATGTGTGGGTGAATGTTTGTACCAGCCAATCGAGTACACTGACACAAATAAACAAGCGGGACAGCCACGCACAGAGGCAGATAGATAACAGGGCACACTGGCTCGTCCGTCCATCAGCAGAAATAACGTCAGCAGGCAGGAAACGCAGCCAGTCAGTCAGCTCGACAGGCAGCTAGGAAGGCAGATCAGATCGAGGGCTTCCGCGACTCGAGGACCGGCAGCTACGTACTTACGTATGTGTGGATGATATACACATGTGCATAAAGCGAGCGAAGCGCCCCATCCCATGGGGTCTATAAAAACGTCCCCCCCCGCTCCCAACCCCCTCCCCTCCCCCTTCCCCTCCACCCCTCGGCCCCTCTTGAATGACTCGTCTGGTGGCTAACGGTACGATTCCCACACTCATACGTGGCCAGCCAGCCAGCCAGGCACTTTACAAACAACAAAACTCCGCCATCGCCCTCTTTACCTGCAATCCCGTCCTAGTAGTCATTACACACATCTCACACACCCCAATCCAATCCTCCCGTCTCCCCTCTAGAAGATCTGTCTGAGCCGCAGCTCATAGTACCCGGCCACCCTCTCGCCCGTCATCTCCTTGTAGAGCTCGTCAGGGATGGTGATTCGTCTCACCTCCCCCACACCCATCATCAGCAGCGCCTCCAGAATGATAGAGATCACCGGGTTGCTCTGCGGGAAGGATATCGTCCGCATCAGGCCGCGGTAGTCGAACACGATCTCGTGGCCGTCGAAGCTGTCCCGCAGCACCGTCCAGTCGTATTTGACGCGCTGCCCGACCTTCGGGCTCGGCCCGACCCCCATCTGCAGCACCTCTGTCGACACGCCAAGCCGCTCCAGGACGATGGACGAGGGCGAGTGCTGCCCACCGCCACCAGCGTCGCCGCCGTCGGCTGGCACTGCGGTCATGTGTGTGAGGGTGGGGACGGTGGGGAGGGGGCAGGAGTTGGTGTGAGTGTCGTCCGACGACCGGACGAACCTCTCCTCGTGTGAGTGGGAGATGGTCGAGTGGGTGGGGGCGTGGATGGGGGACGAGGCGTGCTCCGCCACCGCGACGGGCCGCCGCAACGTCAGGGCGCTGCCCGCACTACACACACACACACACACACAAGATGGTGGAAACAGAGATACCAGCGGCCAGATCTGTGTGGCACGTTATATATCTGAGCCACCTGGCGATTCGGCCGACACTGACGTCGGCAAAGAAGACAATGCGGGAGTAGTCCTGCACCCGCAGCGGCCGCCGCTCCTCCCCGTTCTTGAGGTGGATCAGCACCTCGAACCCGCCCCTCCCGTCGGAATACACGTTTCTGCCCTCGAACAGGCCCACCACCTTGTCCTCTTCAGCCATTGCCCTCGTTGTCACGCCGCCTCGCGCAATCTTGCCTGTCAGGTCAGGGCGCGTGTCGCTGCTTCACACGCAGCGACAAGACAACTCCGTCGTCTCTCGTTCTGCCTCTTGCGGTCTCGTGAAAGGGGAAGATCTGATTTGACGTCTGCAGGGTCGTTGTGACCTTCTGTCGTCCTCTCCCTCTCTAAGCTCGCAAATGCGGTGGATCGCGGGGCTGAGAAAGCTCGTCGACGCTGTCTTGGGGGTGTGTGCCTGCCGGGTGGGGTGCCCCTACTCCTTTTAAATCCACCGGATCTCTTTGCCCTCGTGCATCTCTCGCCCCTCTCTCTCTCCCTCTGTGACTCTCTCTCTTTGCTTTGACTGCCTGGCCTCGCTGGCCCGAGCAAGCGCTTTCTTGTCGACAGACCTGGCCGACCACCCCGCACCTCAGCTCGTGTGGCGGATGCATGCGGATCTCCCTGGTGGTCAGCGGCCCGTCGACTCGCTATCGCACATCGCACTGTTGAGGGTGAGGGTGGTTGGCTGACCGACTGGTTGAGGTGAAGACACGCAGCCCTCGTTGATGGACGTAGGCGACACACTCACACAAGCAGCGGAAAGCCACACCGGGACATAGGGGATGGCGCATGCACCATACCGCTTGTTTGTGTGGTTGTTGTGTGTGTCTTGTGTGTCGTTCGTCAGGACTCGCTGTTGCCCTACTCGGACCAGTACAGTCTCTCCCCCCCTCCCCCCTCCCACTACCCCTACGCCCCCGCCCCAATCCCTGTGTCCTTCACGCCGGCCCCCGACGACCACACCTCCCTCTCCCTCGCCAGCTCGGCTCTATGTCACCTCCTGCAGTACGACACCTCGCCCCGCTGTGATGCTGGCCGGTGCGGTCCCAGTGGCCATGGCCATGATGCGTCATCCCTCCCCCTCCCAAACCTCGCCGCCCCACCACCCGTCATCGACGGCTACATGGGCTGCAGCTATGACGGTGTGCCGTCAGACTCGCCCCCGTTCGTGTCATTCGACCACCGCCATGAGCACCCCCACCACCCGAGTGCGGCGTCTTACACCGACTCGACGAGCAGCATGAGCGACAGCCCTTCCCCCCAACCACCCACACCAATGCCCCCGCCCTTCCCCTCGCTACCGCTTTCACCAGAAGAGACCCATTGGGGAGGCGGCTATGCGCCCGGTCCAGCGGGCAGGCCCTGCCCGTCGCCGTCGTCGGCGAGCTCGTGCTCGGGGTGTGGCGGGGAGGGGGACGGTGAGGCGGGAGGTTTTGGGGCAGAGGGAGAGGGTGAGGGGCACCTGGACGGGCGGAGGCGGAAAAAACACAAGAGGGACGTCACTGAGGAGCACAACACGGTGAGTTAGTCGAGCAAGCAGGGAGCCATGAGGGAGGGAGGGAGGGAGGGAGACAGATCTATGAGTGGAGGGCTGCATGGTTTTTGTTTCATTTGTCTGTCTTGTGTGTGTTGGGTGTCAGGGCCGGTGGAGCGCCGAGGAGCATCGGCGGTTTGTGCAGGGGCTGCACCTCTACGGCAAGGTAAGGTACCCAGATACCTACCCTACCTTTCTATGTGACTACACCCATCCCTACTCCGTTATGTCTATCTGTGTTGTTGTGTCAACGTACCTCAGAATTGGAAGTTAGTGGAGCAGCACGTCGGCACGCGGGCCAACAGCCAGGTGCGGAGCCACGCACAAAAGTACTTCAAGACGCCCGAAGGGTGAGCAACGGATACCGATCAGTCAGACACAAAACACCGCACAAAAGAAACACCACCCACCCTCTCTCTGTGTCTGTCTGTCAGCCGCGAGATGAACCGCAAACTCCGATCCAGCCGTCGCTCCCTCGCCCTGCCTCCACACACACGGCGGAGTCCTTCCCCTCACCACGACCAGCACCCCGCCAGCAACAACCACACACACCCCATGACGCCCACACGGCAGAGCAGCTCCAGCTGGCGGGACGGCGAGGCGTGGGGCGCCCCACACACGCACCCGGCGCACCCGGCGCACATGGGTGTGGATGACGCCACTGCCATTGCCGATGCGCACGCTGCCGAGGAGAGGACGCGACTCTTCAAGGCCTATGTGCGGCTGCTCGAGGAGAGGGAGAGGGAGAGGGAGAGGGAGCGGGAGCGGGAGGTCGCCCACCAGATGGCACGTGTTGTGTAGGGAGGAAAAGAGGGGAGGGGTCCGTGTTTTGCGTCAAGAAACGGGTGCATTCCACGTGGGTCTGTCTGTGTGTGTATGGCTGCCTTGACTGATCTGTGTTGCCGTTGTTTTTGGTTCGATCCATACGTGTGGTGTGTATCCCGGGTGGCTTGGGTTGGTGTGGTTGGTTGTACCGCTGTACTGGGGCCGATTGGCTGTGTGACGGGGTCAGTGAGTGAAGGCATCGGACGAGGCGCTGTGTGGAGGCACTGAGCGACCAAGCCGTGTTTTGCCGCATCCAGCCACCACTGGCTCGCCGTCATTGTGAACGAGTGTGGGAAGCAGTCGGCTGCTGGCGGGTCTGTTCATGCTGCCGGTGCGGCCAGGGGTGAGGATCCCATTCGGTTCTCGCCCATTGACCGCAGCGCAGCGGGCGCAAACACGCCAGTAGGCCGACGCAGACAGACAGACAGACAGACAGCCAGGCGGCGTGCTGGATGCGGCTGCACGACAAGAAGTGTGACGGACGCTCTCCCCTTCCCTCGTGTGTGTCTGTGTCCTCTCCCTGTGTGTGGCGCCGGCGTGTGCAGCGGCTGGGCGACACAGACCTCTGGCCGCACCATGGGCAGAGAGCTGCATCACCTTGCCTTTGTAGACGCCGGCCCAGCGCACGGGAGAACTCAAACAGACAGACCGACGGATGACGCAGAGAGGGGCGGGCCGCGGCGTTTTCGGTCTGTAAGTCTTTGGTCGTACCTCATGTGTGTGAAGACAGAGAGCGGCGGGGCGTCGTAGTGGCTGTAGATGGTCAGCTGCACGCCGAGATGCAAACACTTGTGAGTGGTTTGTGTCGTGACGTGCAGGGCATCACCAGCAGCAGCGGCCAGGTGACGGCCTCCATCTCTCTGTGTGTGTAATCGTTTTTTCATCTTTTCTACCTTACCGACGACGAGCGTAAGGCTGGACACTGCGGGCGCGGGAGTGCCCGCTTCCTTGTGGCTGGGCTGTGACTTACTGCCCGTTCTCTCTTGGGGCGGGACGATGGGGGGGTGGGGGGTGGAGATGAGGGGAAGGGTTTGAGTTGCGGGTGGTCCCTGTGTTATGCACCGCATTAATGTGACACCGCCATCAGCACCATGACAGCCGCTTGTTTGGTTTGGTGGGTGGGATCGCAGAGCTGGCTGGCGAGAGGGGGGATTTTTTGGCACTGTTGTCGTGCTTCTTGGATTGACCACACACATCCACCAGTGTGCTGATTTTCACACCTGGGCCCGTGACTTCCCGGCCTCCATGAACGGTCGCTGTAGTTACCCACTTCCCCCCTCCCACCTGTCGACCACCGATGAGTGTGCATTGCGTGGCGTGATAGTGACCTGGCTGGCGTGTCGACCGACAGTCATGCCATCCTGCCTGCCTGCCTGCCTGTGGATACCTGCCGGCCGGCCGACGCATTTTTACGTCGAAATAGACAAACGTTTTTCGTCAGATCCCCACTGACTGACTGATCGATCGACGGCCGTGTGGCTGCCTGCCGGCTGGCTGGTGTCTCCCCTGTCTGCTGGTGTGTCGCATCTCTGGCTAACTTGTCTGTCTCTGAGTCGTGTGCAATGCTGCTAGAAGTACTGCTGCACTGTTGGGTGCTGGCTCTGTTAACGATACTCGTGGGACGGGCGGGCGGGCGATTGACGGACACAGCTCAGCGAGAATGGGTGTATTCCACCGGTTGGCAAGCAGAGAGGAGAGCCAAGGAGGGGAGACGATCCGCTGATAACGCCATACAGCGATGAGGAAAGAGTTGGGCAATGCAGGCAGGCAGACAGCAGGGCAAACAGGGCAGACCACAAGTGTGCACGTGATGCGACGTGATGTGGGAAACACAGTTATGTTGAATGACACACACGGGGCAGAGACCAAGTTGAATCGATTTCCCTTTGTCCGGTCAGAGAACCCACACACACCGAAGGACACCCACCGATACCACAGAGGCCATATAGGCAGACAGACCGACCATCAGACAGACAAAAAGGCGTCTTGGGGTCTTACAGGTCTCATGGACAAACGAAATCAAACGAACGTCACATTGGCTATGGCAGGCCTGGCTCATGGATCATGGATAAAGCCATCACATCACCTCACGTCCATCGGTCGCCGACAGATACAGCGACGACACCACAGACAATGCACTCACACACACATCGATGTGTGGGTGGATGTGTGCAGCAGCAAAGGCACACACACCGACACAGATGGCCAATGCGCGCACACTGACACCCTATAGCAACTCGAGCAGGGGCATGCAGCAGAATAAACCGACGCAGCAGCTGGCCACAAATCCAGACATCGCTGCCGGACGGTCTCACCGCCGCAAAGGCACTCACAGCGGACGCACCAGGGGGCAGTGCTCACAGGATGGCCACCAGCCTATACTCGAGGTAAGCCTCCTTTCCACTGTAGGTCAGTCTGGCCGGCGCGATGACCCGCCGCACCTCACCCACACGCATGTCAGTGAAGGTCTCCTGGACCCACTCAGCAACAAAGTCAGACACACAACGCACCAGCCCACGGTATCCATATCTCTTGTCTTGGCCGTCGAAGTCGTCAGCCCACGCGACCTCGTCGATCTCGACGTCCTGGTTCTGTGTCGGTTTGGGCCCATTGCCCGGCCGCACCACTTGATGAAACACACCCGACGGCGACCGAGTGAACACATCGCCGCCGCCGCCATGGCCGGCTGCTATGGTTGGTGATGAGACCTCCTGACGCCGCAGTGTGGCGCCATTGCCATTGGCCACACCCACACTGACACACAGACACACAGGCACACAGACACACAGCCCCAATGAGAGCCCACCGTCTGTGTGTCTGTGCAGCACCTACGTCTCATTCGGCAGCACTCCCTTTGGCAGCAGCGACTCGCGGCCGCTCCTGTCCTTGCTGTAGAAGTTGACGCTCGTGCGGCAGATGTCCAGCGGCAAATAGATGCGCTTCTTGGGGCGGTCGGGGACCAATGCGTTGAGCTCGTAGAAGTACTCGCCCGGCTGGGCAGGGTCCTCCAGCACATTGCGACTGAACTCCAGCACACCGACGTCCACCAGTCTGTCACTCATTGCGCCTGCACACACACACCGACAGTGTAAGAACCAAATGACCTGGCGAGTCTGTCTGTTTCTGCTGCTTGGCTGTGTCAGTGTTTGCTCTTGTTTGCGTACCTGTGTGCCGCTGGCCGGTCCACGGGCTTGGTTGGTGCTGTGGATGGATGACGTTTGTCAGATGAACGGTGCTGCCTGCCCAAACACCACACAGACGCACACTGGTGAAGCTGCTGGCTCAGATCTACATATTTGCTTGTCGTCCGAGGCTCTCTGACCCACCTCGCGCTGCAACGAACGAACGAACGAACGAACGCTGCAAAAAGCCGATCGGCGAGGGAATGCGAGCTTAGCATGGGAGGAACTCTCCTCTCCCGCGGAGCCCAGAGAGGCCTGAAGGTTTCCTGTCTTCAGACCTGACAGATCTGTGCCTTTGTCGTACCAACAGGCGACACCAACCACACGAGTGATGCAAAGATTCGCCGCCCTGGTCGTCGTGATGATGGCCCTCGTCTGCACTGTGACGTCGGACATCAACAGAGAAGGTAGACACTCGTCTGTCCAGCAGCCTGCTTCCACTCAGTGCCTTCACTCTTACTTGTGTGTGTGCTGCGGTCTCTCTGGCGTGCTGCAGGCGGATCAGCTGAGGCTGCCTACGAGAGAAGTGGTGCCCCTGCCGACGGAAATAGCAGCCTGCAAGGTGCGCAAGTGTGCACTGCACGATTCTATGTCATGGAGGGGGTGTGTGTGTGGGTGTTTGTCAGAGGGCCCGGGCGGCGTGAGCACTCCCCTTGCTCCATTGGGGGGTGGCTCGGCCGGTGTGGAGAACAACAGCGGGTCACTTTGCATGCCAGGGACCCCTGGCTGCGGCATGCCCTCGGCTTCCGGTGAGGCGTCAGCCGGCACCCTTGTCGTTGACGGCAATGCGATTGAGCCTGAGACGGAAGTGACGGCCGATGGCAGCCCACTTGACGAGGCTGGTGCGGCAAATGGCGGTATGTCACTCACTCCCGTCACGGACGGTCCGACTTGTTGGCGTGCATGATGTGTGTGGTGTGTGCGTGTGTGCCAGGGAGTCGTTTGCGGAGACTTGTGGAGGCCGGCGGCGACCAGACCACACCGCCGCCCGTGGACGATGCGGGTACGACGCACCGTACTTTCGACGAGAAGGACAGGCGATTATGTGTGTCGGGATTTGCCCTTGTCCTTGTCCGTGTGTGGTGTGGTGTGGTGTATGGGCGCCGTTGTAGGGTGGCGGGAGCGCCTAAAAGGATATAAAGAAAAAATTAAAGGCCCCCTTAACAGAGACGGCAATGCCATTGAGCCTGAAAATGAACTGATGGCGGATGGCAGCCCACTTGAGGACAACGGCGGCGCGGCCACTCATGGTGTGTCACTCACTCCCTCGGGTGATGGAGGGTCGAAACTGCTAGGGGTGTTTGATGTGTGTGTGTTGTGTGCGTGTGTGCCAGAGAGTCGTTTGAGGAGACTTTGGAGGCGGCTATTCCTGGACCTGGAAGATATCCAACATAGCGGTAATTAGGAAGAAGGCAAGCGCGCTCACGAGTCTATGTATCGCCCTTGTCTGTGTATGCGCGCCATCAGCCGGCCCCCTTGTTAAAGACGGCAATGCGATTGAGCCTGAGACGGAGCTGACGGCTGATGGCAGCCCATTTAACGAAGACAGCTCTGGTGACACCAGCGGTCGCATGTGCGGACTCAATTAAGTAGGGCAGCTTCTATACTCCGCGCTGGCTGTAGTTTCGTTACTACTGGGAGGCCGTTGTTTTGGGGTGAGTGAGGCCAGCTCGTGTGTGTGTTGTGTTAATAGTTGTCTGTCAACCAGACGGACGGCGAGGCACAGACAGGCGGATGGCCCCTGTAGTAGTGTGTGTGTGTGTGTGTGTGTGAAGATAGTCCATATGTGTCGATAGAGGCCCGTGATGGGGCGGTGTGCACCTGACACGACCGACCGACAGGGAGGTCGACTGCAGGCAGGTGCACTTTCTTTCGGGCTGAGTGGGGGTGGGGTGCGTGGAACTGCACGCACGTTCATACGGCACTTTTGCTGACAAACACCGAGATGGGTTCAATCTTCATCTCGTGGTGCCTATCATCCCTTCACACGTGCCCGCCAGCAGGGTGGTCGAACCTGTGCCGGCGAGAGAGAGAAAGGGAAGCCCTTTTCATCTGTCTGTCTGTCTGTCTGTGTCTCTTGTGTATGGTGTTCACTCTCTTTCCCGCTTATCTCTTCCCGTCTGTGGTGGGTGGCGCGTCTGCCGCTGATTCACTGAGCCAGGTGCCGCCCGTCACACGGGGGCAACACACACAAATGACACGGGGAGGGAGGGAGGGAGGGAAGCGCTGTCAGCTGGACCAACTGTGTGGAGTTGATTCGCTTTGGTTCCGTGCTGTTGTGTGCTTTCGTCAAGTGCCGTTGTCTCCTGAGTGCTCATCGAGTCGCATCTCGTCCCGATGAGCAGTCGGCAGACACCCGGCGTGTGACGAGAGCATACAGCACATTGGGGAACCGAATCGTCGTATGGATGCAGTGAGGGTGGTGGTGGTGGTGAATGGATGTGACAGGGGGCAAGAAGGGATGCATTGCGGCCATTCGACTCAATGTGTGAAAAGACTCCCTTCAGAACACACGATGGAGAGTTGCACATCGGAACTCTGACAATTGAGTTCTCAAGACCACACACAGCAGAAAGATGAGCGTTAATGGGACACATACAGCCAGACGACCGCACTAACCACTTCCCTCTCTCCCTCTCTTCCTCATTCCCTCCCTTCTGCTTGCGCAAACACAAAAAGCGTGACTTATGCAGGCCGCTGCACTTCGGAAAATCAGCTGGCTCAGGGTGTTTCGTTGGACAACCGCGTGCACCGAACTTGCTGTGGTGACTGCATGTGCGGTGGTCACGAGGGCCCGATGTTTGAACTCTCGCGACCGCCGTCCATGCAGTCACCGCAGCAACACCGGCGGCACACGGCTGTGTTCTCATGAATGGGAGTGGAAGCAGCACGACACACACAACGACACGACACACGTGTACTCAGAATGAGTGAGCTATGCACACAGCAGGCCGCCAATGTACCCACCACTGAATCTGACTGTACAATCAACACATCTCTGCACGGGCCTCACTCAGGAAAAGACCTCGGCCGTTTCTGGTGCTTGCGCTGGCGGCTTGGACACGTCATAGCACCCACGTGGCATGCCCTCCGACTGCTCCAGGTACAGGCAGTACCACAGCAGCGCATTGATGTTCTCAGGCACATCCATGCCCATCTCCTGCACACAGACACACACACACACACACACAGCGGCAATGGATTGGTGCGACGAATGCCACGGTTCTGCTCACCTTGTTTTCCCGCCACACATCAGCGAAGGAATCGGTTGTGTACTTGAGCCTGTAAGCGCCAGCCAATTCGCCCGTTCTGTCCTGACCTGACACACACACACACACATGCAGAGACCCACAGACAGACAGATGGCCAATGCGGCAATGGACAGGCCACTTCCCATTGACTCAGTGCTGACCGTGGCCGCAGTGGAAGTACAGCACGCGGGAGACCCCCGCTGGGTTCACCTTGTGCAGCAGCTCGTGCAGCGATGTCACCTTCTTGTTCAGGTGGTCCACCTGCCACTCAGGCAGACTCGATGCTAATCGATTTCGCTCCTGACAACGAAGGGACACACACAGATGAGCTATGCGGCTCTCCTGAGCGTGTTGCATCGGTCACTCACTGCTTCAGGCAGGCTGTAAGGGCGCTTCTCGTCTCCTTTGAGAGGCCACTCGTGCAGCTTGCCAACCTCGGGGTTCTCGCTGAAAAAGTCTTGCTCCAGCTCAAGTGCCGCCGACTCCCCCTGCACCCACCGTACATCCGCGACACATGCAGCCCATCCATCTTATTTGCGCACCTCTCCGTTGCTCGGCAGCAGAAGTGAGAAGACCCACAGCTCGAAGCTGGCGTCGAGGATGAGCGACTGCTCCCTCGCCCGGCTGTAGAGGTACTCGTACAGCACCGACCAGGCGAACTGCTCGTGGCCGTCGCTCCCTCTCCGCTGCGGCTGGTTGCCGCGGAAGAGGAAATGCCCGGTGGTGCTGTTGTGGTCAAGCAGACGGACGCGCGCATCTGCAGGCGAGATGGCGGATGGATGGATGGATGAGAGCAGTCCTTTCATCCGTGTTTGTGAGTCTATATCATTCGCTCACAGTTGAGATCTTCGACGGAGGCGCTGACGCTGACCAGCAGTGCGACAACCACGCTCGCAAACAAGATCCACATCATCGCTTCTTTCACCTCTCCTACTCTCCATTGCGAGCCTCTGTGCGATCCGCACCGGGACCGTGCTCGTATCCATTGCTTGTGGCCATTGGAGCGCTCCCTGGGACGCAACCAAACCTCCTTTGGGCCGTATGCTGGAAAAAATTCATCGCGAACCGTGAAAAGTTCGTCCCCCAAGAGGCATCAGTGTGGCCTGGTGCTCGCCTTGGGCCTCACTTGAAGACACCATCCCGACGCTATCGAAGACACGTATGCCAGCAAACTGGTCAAAATGGCTATGCGGACGAATGCATGTGTGTGCGTGTGGATCGAAGCACGGGAGAGGTCGAGGGAGAAGACGGGCGGGCGACACTGTCTATGATGCATGCAGCCAGCATGCAGGCTGGGCCACCCGTGGGGTGTGAAGATGATAGTGGAGATACACCAGCTTCCGCTTTTGGCCACCGAGAGCCTCGGCGAGAGGGAAGAAAAGTGACCCCCAAACGTACGGATGGCGAATGGGATGCATACTGTCTTCACCTGGCGTGGGCTTCTGTCTGTGGACTCTGCAAGGCACAGAGAAGTCGGAGAACTGCAACCCCGCGTGGAGGGGGACGCTCCCCTAACCCCCAACCCCCGGCCTCCCCCCCAGCCTCCCTCCCAGCCC